CCTAGGCCACACCGTATAACTGGTTTGCAGTGCAGCTGTTGAATCTGTCCACATCACTGTTGACATCCATTTTATTCTGCAACACCTGAATGTACTTGACTAGAATGAAAAATTGCACTTGGACATGGTTTAGATTTATTCAGTTTCCATGCAAGCATCAAACAGAAAGACGTGTTGACATCTTAAATGTTCAGTGTACTTCTCACATTGTTTTAGTAGTATGCAGCACATGTATGGAAAGTGTGCAACATTTCTGCATGTATGATATAGTGTAAAATGTGCAGTATATGCCCACAGCACACTGTGCAGAATACTGTAAAACAAAATGCAATGTTTAACTAATGAACCAGATCATCAACAATTTTTAACGCTTCTATCTTGACTCATTATTTGATCAAACTGTTAATACATTCAGTATGCACTACATACAGTGCAGTATGCAGTAAGTGCTATTCTAGTATAACATTCATTCTGAACATATCCTGAAATATTGATTTTTAAGATTCAGTACTCTTACAGAATGTCAATTTTCTGCCATGAACCAGTGTTATTTTAGCATCACTGAGATATTTTTATTCATATTTTGAATTATTTGTATTTTTATATGTTCCATTTTAATTTTAATTTTAGTTAAAGTTCGTCTTTTTTTGTAGTTTTTTTAATGTATATAGTTTTTTTTATTAATTTTCATTTCAGTTTTAGTTTGTTATTTTAGTACATCAAGTTAAACTAAATGAAAAAGAGAAATGTTGCCTTGACAACTAGTGAAAAAAAATCCAGTTCATATATTTTAAGTAACACAAATGTAATTTTTATGTTTTAATTTTCGTTTTAGTTAATTATAAAACCCTGCCATGATCATAGTTTTGTTATTGTTAACTAAAGCTATTAAAAATAATTTTCGGCATTTGAAATAAAATATAAACAATAGATGAAAAATGTACACTTACACAGCATTACTATGTAATTAATTACGTTAATTTAATTACTTTTCCCTTGAAAAGTAAAGTAAGGGATTACTCTTAATTTTTCTGTAATTAGTTACTTCAGAGGTAATTGCATTAAATAGAACAGTTCTAAATAAAACAATAGAGGATTTAACATCAAAATGTAACGTTTATTGTTAAAATGTAAGTTTTTAAAGGGGTCATATGATGCTTTTTTAAAGATCATTATTTTGTGTATTTGGTGTAACAGAATATGTTGACATGCTTTAATGTTCAAAAAACACATTATTTTTCAAATACTGTACATTATTGTAGGTCCTCTATGCCCCGCCTCTCTCAAACACTTCGTTTTCTACAAAGTCCCGCCTTCCGACAAGCGCAGTCTGCTCTGATTGGCCAGCTGACCCAGTGCATTGTGATTGGCCGAACACCGCAAGCACTCGTCGGAAATGTAACGCCCCTTACCATAATCGCGAGCTTCATCTTTCAAAATAAATGTAAAGACAGAGCCCGAAAGGGGAACAGAGTCGCGTGACAGACACCGTGATGAAGCTGGTATGTGTTTGTGATGTGACCCCCTCCCTCCCTCTCTCTGTCTCTCTCTCTCTCTCTCTCTCTCTCTTCTCTCACGCTCTCTCGCTCTCTCTCTCTCTCACTCTCACTCGCACGCACGCACGCACGCACGCACGCACCCACACACACACACACACA